TACTCAAAATACAATCAGGTATGTTTGCAGATTTACGTTTCCCTCCATAGTTTCCTCCTTCATCTTAAGCATGCCTGTGCTGTGTGTGATCTGGCTGTGTCCTCGGTTAGACTGGTCCTCGGTGTAATGTTTCCTGTCTCTGGGGCTTGACCTTGGCACATTAGCCACATCCACCTCTTTAAGAAGAGGCAATGCCAGCCATGTTAATCAGTGCCTGTGTGACCCCAGGAATTTTCTTAGAAAGTACTGAAGACAGGTTGAAAAGAGCAAGGTTTCCTTTCCATGTTCTCTCTCTTCCACTTTCCTTTGACCATTTCCTATTGGCTTTCCTCTACATCTAAGAAAGTTATAAGACAGTAGTTAACAGATAGGGAGCAGAGAAGGTTTGAAAAGGTAACATTTCAACAAATCATCTCTCAGGCTGCCAAGGTTGTTTCTCCTATAAAAGTTCACCACATTAACTGTCTACACCCAATCTATAGACTCAAAACCTTTCATTTTTTTTAACCACCTCTTTTCTAGAGGAAAAAAAAATGTTGAGATTGTATATCAGCTTGGTTTCTTTGAAATGATCCAGTTTAAAGAATGTTAAGTTGTTACTTTAAAAGTCAAGGTCCATAGTGAAATGTGGGTGATCTTACAGTTGATCTGTAAGCTCCTCCTTAATGCTTGGGAGCCTGTGATTCTAATGCAGCACATGTATCATGCCTAGAGAATATTGTTTGGTTTCTATATCTAAAGGTATAGAAAAGGCAACTGATGTCACTCAATGGTAGGACGCACTTGTCTAGCATGCACAAGACACTTGGATGGAATCCTCAGAACTGCAGTGGGGGGGTTAGAGGAAGGCATAGAAAATGCTGGAGAACGGAGTGACAGCCTCCCATAGTGGGTGGTTTTCTTTGTGTGTGCCCCTAAAGCAAACATCTAGGGTCGTATTATGGGAGAATTTTGCATTCATGTTCAATTTTCCCAGTTGGAAAGCTACTTGCTGCCAGTTCAGTGAATTAGCCATTCTAACAATACCTGGTACTTTAACCGGCTTTTATCTTTTTAAAGTTATTTTGTATGAAGATTGTCTAGCTTATTTACTTAACTCTCCTGTTTTTTACTCACCATCTGACTGAATGAATTTTCTCTTCCCCACCCCCATCATATTTCAGAGTCATCCACCTTCAGGCAAGAATTTAGATAGAAACTGACTGCTCAAACACACTCAGGAACCCTCTATGCTACGGCTATCACCAGCATGCGGCTAAACTCTTCAAACTCAAGACTTTCCAAGTGCAAGGTTCAAGACAGTATACTCAAAGAAAGTCCTATGGCAAAACGAAGGGCAAATTTCAGTGGAAAAGTTAGAAGAAATGTTAAATTAAAAATAACAAAAAAAAAAAAGTTGTAGATTATGGCATTTAGGTTACCAGCCAAAGAACCAGATAATAAAACGAGTTAATACTCTAATTTTGCTACTGTTATGAATCTTAATGTAAATCTCTAATATACAACACCAAAGGGGTTAAGACCCACAGGTTGAGAACCACTACTTTAAGGGCCTCATGCCAGGGATCAAAACCTTGCCAGCAGCTTATAATCTCCCAATTGTTCTTTAAATGAGGTAGCATGAATCCTTCCAGTAACATATTTAAAAATATTAAGAAACCCTGCATTGCACATAGGCTTTTTCTCTTCCTTTCCAGAGAGCAGGCCTCAGCGGCGAGCTGTGATGATTATTAATATAGCCAAAAGTCTCTTCTCTAAAAATAGTAAATAGCCGAGTTACAATCTATTTGGTATAACAGCTCATCAATAATGTCGTTTTAGATTGGGATCATGGCAGTGTGTGTGTGTGTGGGGGGGCAGGACATGCAATGCAAGCAGGAACAGACACAGTGTTTTCTCTGACGCCTTTGCCTGACCTCTATGACAGCTCTACAGAGACTTAGAGCTGCTGCCCTGCCCTGCCCTGGCCCGGCCTGACCTGTGTTTGCTCTGTGCCAGGGAAGAGAACTGGCTAAGTGGGTGAGAATGGCTTTCAGTGGTAGAGGACAAGCACAGTTGTGTGAGGCCCCACCATTCAAGAAAAGAAACACGCCGCTTTCCAGTCAGGACAGACTTGGACAGAGAGGACACTGAAGTCAGAACCACACTCTTTTTATTGAGTACAGGTTATCAAGAGACCAACCCCACCAAAAAGTAAGGACACAAGCAACATAAAGAAATGTGTTTTTTCCTCACCTGTGGCTTAAAAAGTGCTCATTGAGGCAGCAATAACACATTTCCCCCCTTTAACACAACAGAAATGGAAAACAGTGATAATGCTGAGGGTGGGTAGAGTGTACATCTCTTATATATTGCTGGGGAGACAGTAAAACGGCGTGTGCTTACTATGGGCAATATTGCAATCTTCAATAGCCTAAAAAGTGTATCAATCCTGCTACGTCTCCAGAAACATAATCCAAGGAAATAATTGTATAAGATTGCAATTCACTGGAGCTTGGCATATAGAGTTTTTAACTTTTCACCTATGAATTTTCTATTTTTCCTACGATAAGTTTTTGGAGAAGTCTTTTGGTTCTAAAATTGAAGAAACAGAACACACTTATTTTCCTCTATAATGATTGTGTTTTCCCTCCTGGCGGGCTGGGCCAAGCCCTGACTTTAATGATGCCTCTGGTACTGCCTGAGCAAACAGAACCTAAGCAGGTCTTCAGCTGGTCCTGTTTGTTACTCTGCTGCCAAATTTGATCTTGTGGGCCCTTACCTTTATAAAACGTTTGGACAGTGTGTTGAGCACTTTAGAAAAATTTCTGTTTTTCCTTTCAGGGACCCACCAGTAAGATCTAGAAATCGCGGGAAAAGTTCTCCATATTGATTCTCTTGAGTTAACAGTCTCTCAGAGAACCTTTAAGTTAGTAAAGGGCAAACCAGACTTGCGCAGAGCCCAGAACTTAAAAGGCATGAAGGAGGGCTGGGGTGTGTGTGGCTCAGAACAGCGCACTTGCTTAGTGTGCTGAGGCCCCATCCGGAGCAAGGGCGTTGGGCAGGTGCATAGGTCACAGGCGGCCCCATAGAAGCCTCCTCCTCCCCAGAGTTGGAGTGGGGCAGGGCCGGAAAATCACATCTCCTAGAAGGACTAAAGTAGGGAATCCACAGGAAAATTTGGCAATGGCGACCAAGGCTGGCCAGAGGCACCGGTCCCAACAGGTGCACACAATCAAACATGCTGTAGCTGACCCTCCGGAAACCGTTCTATTCTGGTTCCCGCCGGTTTGGGAGTTAACTTTGCTCTTGCCAAGATTTTCCTTTTTCTCTTTCTTTTTTATTATTATTATTATTTGTGTCTTTCACATCATGCATCTCGATCCCATTCATCTCCCCGTCCCTTCAAGATGTCTTAATCCACACTCGCAAACAGCACTACGTGGAAGCGCCCAATTTATTCCGGGGAAACCGGACCTCCTATAATCTAACAGGCGCCCCCCTCTGGAGAACCCGGGTCTACCCCCAAACCACCTGTTCTCAGTGCTCCTGGCCGCATCTGCCACCAGTACTGTGTAGTTGTGGCCTGCTTTTTCTACATTGCTGGGAGAAATTTGGAACTTAAACTTGGAGCCTTAGATAAAGTCAAAAGTCCACGAACATTTCACAGCTAGTCACGACACCACTCTTTCCAGGCAGTCTTGAGCCTTCCTGGGTTATCTCAGGCTCCACTCATCCCTGGTCAATGGCCTGCCCCTCAGCCCTTGAGAAGAATCTGCCACCCCTGGACTTTCCATCCAGATGAGGTGCCAGCCCGCGCCCGTCGCCCGGGTTGTGGGCCATCCACGCGCGCTTAGCTAGCCACTGGAAGTCCTTCGGACCCTCTCGCGGATCCCCTGGCTTTCGAGAACTTCGCTGCCACTCTTCTCGACCCGACACCCGTCTCGGATTCGCTGGGGATAAGATCTAAGAAATGCGCCCTGGGCCACAAGCAGCCTGGGAGGCGGGGTTAGGAACAACTTTCCCTCCGCCCTCTAACCGCAAAGCCCGGGTGGGGCGGCCTAGCCCTGTCCCGGTCCCCCTCCTTCCCCGGCGGGGATCCCTGACCCGAGTTCGCGCCAAGGCCGGCGTGGAAGGCCCGCGAGAGGGGCTTCCCTCCCCGCCGCAGCCCCACCAGATGTTAGAGGCGTAACAATAGTAGAACCGCAGAGAAACAAAAGGCCATTCACCGGGTGGAGGAGAATGGCTCGGTCGCCCTGTCTCCGCCGGGAAGACTTACAGAGGGGTCTGAAAGGGGGTTGGGAGGGATCCTGAGTGGTCTAGAGCCTCTGCCACGCTCCAGGAGGCGGGAGCCCTTCTTTACCACCAACCACCCAACCCTGGGGGTCCAGTGGCGGGGAGGAGAAACCAGAGGAAAGTTTTAGTTTTCACCTTCTCTGGTGCAGGAAAGGGAGGGGCTGCGATTCCAGATGTTTGACAGTTGTTGGCCCAAAAGTTGAGCAAGATTTATTTGTTCTTAAGACCCTCCCTTCATGAGGCATCAGTAGGCTGGGGACAACCCGAACGGTGAGCTGTAGCCCCACGCAGCCCCCACGCTGGGTTCCAGGAGCCCGGGCGCGTCCCCCTGCACAGATGCACTTTCGTAAAAGTTTCTCTTCCCGCCGCCTCAGGCCAACGCGCACCCTACCCGCATCTGCGATTCAGAGAGGGTTCGGGGCGAGATTTGCACCCCGAAAGGGGCTGGGGTGGGTGTTTCAAATCAAAGCCAAGGATCCCTGGGTGGGAACTGGACTCACGTTCCAGCCCGGGAAGTGCGTACCCGGAGTCATAGAGAAGCCAAGGAGCCCGCACCGGTCTAAACCAGACTCTAACCCCGGAAGCTCGCGGAGGAGGGATGAGGACCCGCGTCGGCGCGGTTGATCCGCTCCAGGTGTGCCCCGCACCTCGGCCCTCCTGAGCACAATCCGGAGCTGGAAGCTGCGGGACTGCGCCTCCTCCCCGCTCTTGGAAGGGTTACTTACCGTGGGGTTTTAACCTTCAGCCTAGGGCCCTGCTGTCGTCCTCCGCGCGGGCAGCTGCGGCTGGCGCGGTAGAAAAAGAGTGAGCTCCTCCAGCCGGAGCAGCGACGCTTGGCAAATCCACGCGAGGGGCTTCCTAGCCAGCACGCGCGACTCCAGACGCAGCCGCCGCGGCTCTGATGCAGCCCCCACATGCACCGAGCGCGCCGCGCAGCCCGCCCGGGCGCCACTGCAATTCATCGGCTCAGAGCGGAGTCCCCTGGCGGCCTCCTCTGGAAAGGCAGCTTCGTGGGGGCAAGAGGAGTCTTGTTGCCTTTAGGATCCTCTAATCTCCACAAGGGCCTGAGACAAGGTTCAGTCTAAGAAGTTTCTCTACTTTGATCCGCTGGCCAGAGTAGCTAGAAAAATGCCAGACTAGAAAGACTGCGGTCCCTGTTGAGCTTTGTGAACTTGACACAAATCTAGGAAGAGGGAATCTTAATTGAGGAAAGACCTCCATAGATAGCCTATTGGTAAGTCTGTCTGGCATTTTCTTGATTAATGATTGGCATAGGAGGGCCTAGCCCACTGTGGATGGTGCCAATTTGGGGCAGGTAGTCCTAGGGTGTATAAGAGAGAAGGTTGAGCAAGCCATGAAAAGCAAGCCAGTGAGCAGTGTTCCTCCATGGCTTCTGCTTCAGTTCCTGTTTCCAGGTAACTGCCTTGAGTTCCTGTCCTGACTTCCCTTTATGATGCACTACGATCAGAATGCATAAGCCACATAAACCCTTTCCTCCCCAAGTTGCTTTTGGTCGTGCTGTTTTATTACAGCAGTAGAAACCCTAACTAAAGTCCACAAAAGTTTTTTTCCAAGGCACCCAGAAAGAGCCAAAGGACTTAACCTTCTTCACAATTTTCTGACTGTTGTAAAATGCCTTGGACTGCCTGACACACCATAGAAAGTAGCTTTAAATCATTGAAAAAAAAAACATACTGGAAGTCATACCCACCTCTCAGGGTGGTTGTTAAGAGTAAACCAGTTATAAGGAGTATTCTTAGTTCATGGTAAGAGTCTTTGAACATGAGCTGACTCTCTGGGAAAAAAAAGTGAATTTATCTACATGCCTTTATTCTCTTATAGAACATCTTAATGCATACTGATTGGGTATGGTATTGCACTCCATAATTGCAACTACACATTTGAAAAAATAGAGATAAATTTGGTGTGTGTGCATATATATATATATGTATACATATATACACACATGTATACATATATATATTCTATACCTCATCGCTACCAGCCTTTCCATCACAAATGTCTCTCTATGCATGATGCCTTTCTAGGCTCACAGAAATGTCTGGGAAGCTCCTGCCTCAAGGCCTGAGTGCTTGCTCTGCCCTCTGCCCTGATTTCCCAGTCACATCACAGCCGAGAGCCTGCCTTTCCCCTCTAGCTCTTTGCTCAGAAGCCTTCCCTTCCAACTGTATCCTTCCTTCCTCTGCCCACATGGCCTGCTGCACTTTCCTCCATTCAGTGAATTGCCGCCGTCAGACACACTAAACACTGCACTTTGTTCACTCCATATTAGTTTTCTATGGAGAAAATAAGTCGGAAACTTCAAGGCTAAAAACAACATGAGCAGGGTTGGAGAGATGGCTCAGTAGTTAAGAGTGCTTGCTGCTAGGTAACAAGGAGGACCCTAAGAGGGATGCATGGATTGCCTTGGGAAGGAGAAACAGAGGAGATCTCCATGAGTAAACTAGGGATGGAGGGGAGGGGAGGGGGGATGAAAAAATGAGGGAACGGGATGGTCCAGCTAGGGGAGGGACAGAGTGGGAAAGCAATGAAAGAGATATCTTGATAGAGGGGAACATTGTGGGGTAAGGGATGCTAGGGAAATTCCCAGGAATCCACAAGGGTGACCCCAGATTAGACTACTAGCAATAGTGGAGAGGGTGCCTGAACTGGCCTACCCTGGTAATCAGATGGTGAATACCTTAACTGTCATCATAGAGCCTTCATCCAGTGACTGATGGAAGCAGATGCAGAGATCCACAACCAAGCACCAGGCCGAGCTCCAGGAGTCCACCCAAAGAGACATAAGAGGGATTCTATGAGCAGAGGGCGGGGGTCATGATGGGGAAATCTAAAGAGACAGGCTGTAGGAACTCAAGAACTTTAGACTGACAGGTGTGGGACCTGCATGGGAACTGACTAGACCCTCTGCATATGGGAGACAGTTGTGTAGCTTGATCTGTTTGAGGGGCCCCGGCCATGTAACCAGGACCTATCCCTGGCGTGTGAAATGGCTTTTTGGGAGCCCATTACCTATGGTGGGACACCTTGCACAGCCTTGATGCAGAGGGGGAGGGGCTTGGTCCTTCCTCAACCGAATGTACCAGGCTTTGCTGACTCCCCGTGGGAGGCCTTACCCTTTTGGAGGAGGGGATGGGGGGTGAGGGGAGACTGTAGGGGAGCGGGAGGAGGAATAGAGGGGGACCTGTGGTTGATATGTAAAATGAATAAAAAAAAAATTAAATAAAGAAAAAAGAGTACTTGCTGCTCCTCCAGAGGACCAGAATTTGGTTCCTAGCACTGTCAGCCTCTCAAAATCACCTATAACTCCAGTTTCAGCAGATCAGACCCCGCTTCTGACCTCCACAGGCCCCTCTGCATGCACACAGTGCCATAAACTCATGCAGGCACACATACATAAACATTCATAATAAATTATTTTTAATATATATAATCTTATGTGATGAAGCATGGTCTAGCCAGGTTTCTCTCTCCATGTGAAGGTCAGCTGTTTAGCAAACTCAGTCCCAACTACAGATGAATTGCCCTTTGCCATGTAATATAGCCACAGGTTATAAACATATGCTATGTAATTGGGGGGGCACTATTGTATCTATAAATACCAACTTACTGTTTTCTAGCAGAAGGGATGTAAACAGGGACTTTCGTCTATCTTGCTCATTGCTGTGTGCCTAGACTGTTTCACTTAGTGAGCAGGTCCTTCAAAACACATATGCTGAAGTCCTAGCTCTCAAGGAGAGGTGTAGCTTTGAGGACCGAAGGAGTCATCAGGACTGGTAAGGCTCTAATATTGGATTAGTGGCCGAGGAAGGAAGACCAAGTGGAAGATTACAATGAAAAGTAGAAAGTGATAGAGGGGTAAGAGAGAGAACAAGAGAGTGTCTTCTCCACTAAGCAAGGATATAGCAAGAAGGCAGCCATCCGCAAGCCACAAAGAGGCCCCTCACTAGACAGCAACCTTGCTGCCTTCCAGACCCCAGCCTCCAAAACTGCTGTCTTGGGATGTTGTCTCGGCCACCTGGTCTATATGGTATTGATATGGCAGCCCAAGCGGACCAACATAACAGCCAATAAATACTCGTTAAGTCAATCAGTGAAAAGACTTGATTGTAAGCATTGCAATATCTAACCCCTACCCCACACCCCAAGTGTGGCAAGTATTTGCTGAGCACTTTATTGGAATATCTCATTTAATTTTCACAAGATATCTATAAGCTAGGTACAGGTGAGTTAGTATAGGTTTTAAAACGGAGGTAACTTGCCTAAGGTCAAGATTTAGAAAACAGTATTAGAGAGTCTTGGCAGTATGACTTCAGTGGTGGCTGTAACCCTCACAATTCGCTGCTACTGTCACGGGGCAAAAGGGCAGCCCTGGATCCTGTCCTAAAGGTGCTTATAATCTAATAAGAATGGCAAGAGAATACAAAAGCGGCAGTACAAAGAACACTATGCAGAGGGTTGGGATAGAGAAAAAAAAAAAAAAAAAAGGGCCAGAACTGTCTACAGCGCTTGGAGAAAGGGAACTGACCTTGGAAAGGAGTATGCAGATCTTAGGGATGGGGCAGCTGAGCTGAGCTTGGAAATGGTAGACATGGCTGGAGTTGAGCAGAGATGGAGGAAGACAGAGAAAACTGAACTATGCTCTAAATCTAGTTGTTTGGAGAACTGGTCATGTAGCTACACAATAAGGACTGGGATCCCGAATGCTAGACTGAAGACCAAAGAAGAGATCACGAGATCTGGGAACAGTCAGTGGAGAAAAGTCGCCATAAGCGATACCCAAACATCGATCTGAAGCTGTAACTCCAAAAGTGAGAAGCACAAGAGAAAAACAACTTCTTGCTGGGTAAATATCATCCAAAGATGTTAGCTACCGTTTTCATTTTTTTAAAATTTTGCATTATGGGTGTTTTGCCTGCATGTGTGTCTCTGTACCACGTGCATACAGTGCTCCTGGGGGACACAGAAATGTGTCAGATCTCCTGGGACAGTTGGGAGCGTCCATGTGGGTCCTGAGGATTGAACCTGAGTCCCCTGGAACTGCAGCCAGTATACTTTATCACCGAGCCATTGCTCCAGCCTCTACTTCAGTCATTTTAAAAGGGTAATTTTTAGCCCATAATTCAGAGTTTAGAGCATAATTTGATATGCCTTAGATCAGTGGTTCTCAACCTTCCTAATGCTGTGACCCTTTAATATAGTTCCTCACATTGCAGTGACCCCCCCAACCATAAAATTATTTTCATCACTACTTCATAACTGTAATTTTGCTACTGTTATGAATCATAGTGTAAATATCTGATAGGATATTTGATATACAGTCCCTGTGAAAGGGTCATTTAATACCACCAAAGGGGTCTTGATCCACAGTTAGGAACTGCTGCTGCCTTAGATGTGTAAGATTTGAAAAGAACAACTATTGCCAGTGATAGTAACTAGCCTGTTCCCGACCTTTGGGCAAATGTGTGACAAATTCTGTTCTCAACTTGATACAACCTAGAGTTACCCAGGAAGAAATCTCAATATTGTCTGGATCAGATTGGCCTGTGGCCACATCTATAAGAAACTGTCTTGACTGATGATGGAGAAGGGAGGACACTGTCCACTGTGGGAGACACCATTCCTACATAGGAGGTCAGAAAGCTAGCTGAGCGTGAGGCAGTGAATGAGATAGTAAACATTGTTCCTCCACGGTTTCTGCTTCACTTCCTGCTTGAATTCCTGCCTTGACTTCCTTCCGTGATGGACTGTGGTCAGGAAGTGTAAGCTGAAATGAAACCCTTTCTTCTCCAAGTTGATTTTAGTCATGGTATTTATCACCAGAACAGAA